ACTAATGGGGTTGGGTGAAACTGAGAACTTGTAGGAGTTAAGAAGGAAGGAGCAAAAGCTGTTAGGCTGTGAGAATGCAATGTATGAGAGATTTTTTTTTTTTTTTTTTTTTTTTTTTTTTTTTTTTGTAAATTTAGGGTTGTTTTCTCCTTTTGATACATTGTTTTAGAAATTCTATACATTGTTAACACATTTACTCTGAAACAGCTGCAAGGACTTTCAGTAGTTTGGCATGGCTTTTTCTTAATGTAACTGGAGACAACCTTTCATATATGAGGCACTATTTCCCTCCATTTGGGAACTTAACTGTAGTTTTAGTTTTAAAAAGAATTTGTGGCTTAAGAACTCTAACAAATCTTGGCATGCTTGAAGTTCATTGTAATTTTACTGTGTATACAAATTCTTCCAAGGAAAAAGCTCCACAAAGCAAAAACTCTCAGTCTGCCTTTCTCCTGTGACTTGTTCATGCCTATATAAAATGACTTAATATCTAGCTTCATGCACTGCTGTTATTTTTCATTGCTTAGTTCTCTAAATGCTGTTATTTGAGAAAATTGTTTTGTCTATTTGTGATTCCAGTAAAAATAAACTGCAACTTGGAAAACTATCAACAGGAAGTTATCAAGAGTTTTCTGTATGCCCACTATAATTGTGAGCAGAAAATTCATAGTAATAGAGAAAACAATCTTCCTCAGGTAGTAGTCTCATCTATTTTAGCAAGAAATATTTATTTCTAAGTGGAATATAATTATGGAGAACAGTAAGCTGACTACTAGTTTCAATGTGTATGAAGTATGCTAAAAATTAGTACCTGGAGGAGAGAGAGGGAGGGGAGAAATAGGTTATGTTCAGCACAAAATCTGAAGAAAGAATTTATTATTGGTGTCAGTTGATATACACTACTTGTGTAAAAAAAAAAAAAAAAAAAAAACCCAAACGTTTTTTCTTTCTACAAGACCCCCAAACTACTTTCCTAGGGTCCATAGCTGTGAGTTTTGGATACTTTCAAAACCCAGTAATGAGGTGATTTGAGGCTAAATGTTCTCAAAACAGTAGTAGGTTAATTTGGGATAGCAAAAGTCTAGTACAGTGTAATGCTAAAAAAATTTGATAGTTCCAGTACAATAAAAGTTTGCTATTACCTGAGCTATTCATGTTTCATTTTTCATGTTTCAATAACATGTTGCCTTGGTTTGGCAATTATACTTACCATTTATTGTTTTGTTACACTCTCCTTTGTAATCCCTTCCCTTTCTCAACTTTCTCATTCAATTTACCTTTAATATTTGTTTTCTAAAAGTACAAGGGTAAGGGTAGAGAAAAGACATTTTCTCTTTTATCTCTTCTCCTCTTCCAAATAGTACTCCAACTGTTTGGCTAGAAAATAAAAACATGTGTTTGTTGTTAGTGATGTAGGTTTTCAAATTCTATTATGCCATTCCAGTGTATAAAACCCAAATCTCAACATTCTTAGTGACTAAATATTGGCAGTACTGTCTGTATGCAGATGCTGGAAGGAGATCTGGAATAGATTATCAACTAACTTTTAGAAATAAATAGAGCATGCACCATTAATATTTCATATAAAAGTGAATGTTTTATATTGGCGTCTTGAACTGAAAAAAACTTCTCTAGATATAGATGTCAAGGTGGGAGAATGTCCTCCTTTATCTACTCATTATAACTACTAGTTGACCTACATGTGCTGAAATGCTATCTTAAATTCTGTCATACTTTCTTCCAGATGAACAGTGGTAACAGTGAACCCTTTTTTTCTGAAGTGCAGCAGAATCTCTTTCTTTTTGTAGGGAAAATGGCAACATCCCACTTGCTTGTGAAGGGGATAGTAAGTCTGAGTTCATTGCATGCCATTTGTGTGCAATTACTTGATTAGCAAATTGAGCTCCCAGCATCTTTTTGCTCTCCCAGAGCTGTGGGTCATTGAGGTGGTGCCCTCAGAGCAATGTATTTCAGGGAATTTAATGTAAAAGAACTCTAATTTCTAAGAACTATTTCAAGCTGTTGACAGGCTTCAATATGTGTGCTCCAATGAAATTTTAAGTTTCTCTTTTTTTCTTTAAAAACATTCCAGTGAAATTCTACTTTTTAATTCAGTGCTAGACTTGTACTCTTTCGTTCTGCCTTCAGGCTATTAAAATGTATTTATTTCTACCTCACTCAGTGTAATACAGTTGTTTTTACTACTGAATATACATTCCTAGACTAGTTGCAAAGTTTGACTGCTTCAACAAATTTAGTCCTGAACTCTTAATTTGTATATACCCTTTAGATCAATACTAGCATCAGCTGAAACAGTCATACTTGGTAGAGCTTTGTATACAGTTTGCAAATGACTAAATTGTATGTGATGTAATACAGAGTGAGGCTTTGAGGTTTATTACAAGCTTCAGTGAAGCTGAAACAGAGATGGATTTGTGCTGCAAGTTTTTTAGTATTCGAGCTTAATTTCTGTCCTTTGACTTCACATATCCTAATCCCTGCAACCTGAATGCAGTGTCTGATGGGGGTGGTAAAAAGAAACCCTGACATCACAGAAAATAACGGGATTTATTGTTAGTTATAGAATGGTAACTATCAGTCTTTCTTGCTCAAGTTTGGTGTTCTTCATCCTGTGTTTATTATAGCTTTATCAACTCAGCATAAATTACAGAGTCACAGAAGCTTTTTTTTGCCTCTTGTAATATGAATGTGTGATAGAACTCTGCAAGTTATTGTTGTATAATTTTTGATGTGTCACTTGCTGAACAGTAATTAAGAATTAAGGGAATTTTAAAGAATTAAGGTGAAGGATTTAAGAAACATAGCAAATACAGGAAAATATTTTTCATTAATATTACAGTAACCTTAAGGTTAAAGAAAATGTAAGCCCCTGATTTTCTGAATATTCTAATCATACCATAGGATGTTGATTAGGTTAAACTAGATTAGAGTTGCATTTTTAATTATTTAAAATTTATTTATTTATTTTTATTTATTATGGTATAGCTTCTCTACCCTTCAAAGCACTCTCTGAAAAGGGTATGAAGTTAATGACATACACTTAATGACTTGGTGAGCTAAGGCATAAACTTGAAGCACAAAAAGCCTTATAAATGGCTATGTGTATAGTCTTACAGTAAATGTTTTAAATACAGAGTAGATTAACACTTAAAAAGATTAGAATTGTTGAGACTCAGGCTGGCTAGTTCTCCCTGTTAAATCTGACTTACTTTCTTATGCTGTTATCTGGCACAGAGAAATTGCAGTTTGCGAGTGATAGGCAACGGGAAAACTGGGTCTTTTTAACTCTTGAAGGAAATACTAAGTTTAAAGTAAAAATATGTATGTACAGACATATTAAGTCAGAAGAACTACATTTCTGTAAATAAATGTGATTTTTTTTTTTTTTTTTTTTTTTTTTCCCCCAAGAAGGCTACATGTGTTCACCTGGTTAACTGCAGTATCATGAAGAAATAATTAGGTTGCATCTCAGTGATAAAAAGCTGGAGTCTGTTAGTTTATATGCATGAAAACAGTATCAGATGAAAGTGGCATAAATTGTGACTGAATTTTGTAGATGAAGGCCCCTGTGAAGGGAGGTTTCGGGGAATGTATTCTTTATTTCTGTCTAAATCTGAGATTCTGAGCTGGAAGAAAAAGATATCTATAAGGATCAAACCTGAACTGTAAGATTTAAACATGCTTGTTTTAAGAAGAAAAGTAGACTTGCATAATGCAAACGTTTTAATCAGAAAAGTGGATGTAAACCTGTTATTTAACAAATCATTGCTGTTATCTATGTAGTAACATTTCTTTTGTGACAATGTTTCTTTCTTGTCCCATTTTTGGATACTTGTACTGTAGCAGCTGTGCAGCTCAAATTAATTTGAATTCACCTGTGCTGTTGTAATAGAATTATTAACTAAAATTCCTAATATATTGTAATTATCAGCTCTGTGCTATATCTTTCAACGTATTTTGTATAAATCAGTAGAGATTTAAATGCAAGTGAGGGTATAATTTGTCTTGCAGAGTCTATAGCATTTGTGATAAATTGTCCAGAATGTACAAAGTTTGACCCTGAAATTCTAAGCTGATGTGAAACTGTAACTTACGTGTAAACTGAGGAAGTTTGACCTGTAACCATCAATTCTGTTCAATATGGATATATTTATATATTTAAAAAATTTATTTAATCTTTTGTAATTTAGCCAGATATTTTGATTTACCTGTGCTATGAGACTAGGTTCCCTGCTTCCAAGACTGGGAGGAGGAGATGAGCATGCAGAACCAGATACAATAGTGTATAGATTTCTGGCAACTTATGCTATATAGGTATGTTTTGACAAATGTTGAGTTAGATATTGGCATTCAATGAGCAAATGGCTTTATTTTGTGAGTAAATGGGAACTCTGAAATTTGACAAAGAAAGATCTGAAATAATACTTTATATTCCAGTTTTAGGTATAAGTATATTGAAGCTTAGTTTATATTCTCTATCGTTCCTTTTCAGTGCTGCTGTTATGCTTTCCTCTATGTATAAATGTGTTAAGTGGTGAGAGTTATCTTATACTTGGCATTTATGAGCTGATATCTCAAAGGGGATGACCTGTAGAAGTATGATAATTGTCTGTAGTAGCTATGATGACTACTCAAAATGGTAGAGTCTTCAGTCTATCAAAAGAGGGGACTAACTTTGACAGAAAATCTTAGGTTGAAAGTTTAAAATTTAATGTGTATCTTTCTGAAAGAGATGGAAAAAGATTTAAAAATTATTTTAGCCTGTTAATACAATAATTTTATCAGTATTCTTGAAAGCCTTTACACTTTGTAAATGAATGCTTCATAAATATTTTTTTTTATGTGAGCATACTCATTTTTCTGGAGTTTTACATGATCTAAAAGCTTTCAGGGCAGAAGAATGGAGAAACTTATTATCTTGCAGGTGTTGTCTTTTACTTTTGTAAATAATTAAAGCTAATACCAGATTCTATTTGCAGGGGAAACAATCTTCAATCAAATCTCAGTTTGCATGTACATATAAAAAGGAGCTGGGTGAAATAAAGGATCAGCGTTTCCTCAGCAGTAACCAAATTCCAATCTGCATACATCCTGCACCAAAGCAACATTTAAAAGCTGGATATCTCACAGGTAAAGTGCAGTAGGATTAAGTAAATATGATAGCTAATATTTCAAATGTTATCAAACAAGGCTTTAGTAAAACTCAAGTATAAATATGTTTTGAAGAAAAAAAAATAGACATGTATCATTGCTCTGTGTATGCTATGAGCAGTTAAATGTCTTTACCTTAAAATTGTAATGCTAATGCTTTGAAAATATAAATCTGAAAAATTTGTATTGATGCTATCTTGTGGAAAAAAATTGATACATTTTACATCAATTATGTAATGTTTCTTCTTATTTTACAAAAGTAAGCTAAGTGAAATTTGTATTTTTGCCATTAAAAATAGGGGGAAAAATTGTTTTACTCCAATATAAACCATGTCATATATATAATTTCTAGGCTTTCAGGCATCTTTTTCAATATCTTAAAGTTATAAATCCTCTTCCCTAAATTAGTTGCTATAACTTGGTTTTGAGCAATGTCATTCTGAATTTGAAGTACATTTGCTATGTGTTCATAAGTGTAACTGCAATGACCAGCATAGTTTTGCTTTATTGATAAAGCACTAGTTTTGATTAAAAAATCATATGATAGTCCTCTGATAGAAAAAGGATGAATAATCCCAGGTAACTTTTTATTTCTTCACATATTTTTTGATATTCTTACATGACAGAAGGTATGAATTCATGTCTAGATGTACCAGTGCTTGGAACTATTTCTGAAAATGTTCACCAGACTAGAAGTTATACAGAAATGGGAAAGCTGAGTTGTCAGCCAAGAAACAAGAATTCCAGGAATGAACAGATGGATTTGAATAATGACAAAGTAATCTGTGATAAGGAAAGTGAACCATCTTTGCAAAAAAATGCTAAAAGACCTAAAACTTCAAACAACCCTCATAAGGTATCGGACAGGAAAATCAGTGGAAAAGGAAAACACAGCAAAACTGCAAGCAAGAATAAGTTGATTGCTGGTCAGGCAAAATTAACTCAATTTTTTCAACTATAAATTTTCATTTTGACATATATGTATATTGACGGGTTTCAAAGTTGTAAGATTTTGCAAGAAAAGGGTGAAATTCCTTAATTACTTCCTTTCATACCAAAATAAGTGAAAGTGGTTTCTATGTAATATTAGACAAATAATTAAGAGTCTGGATTATGCAGAAGTCTTTTATTTTTTTATAACAATACATCATGAATAATGCCAGCTATGTTCTTTTTTGGTAATGAATTATGTTTCCCTCTACAATGTGATGGGAAAGTATTTTTGGATGTATATGTATAGCCACGCTAAAACACAGTAACTTCAAATTACATTAAATTCATAAAGAAATATTTAATCTTCAGAGAACGTGGTGTAGATCAGTATTTTTCAGACTTGCCAACAAGGTCGATAGACTCTTCCCAGCATACACCTGAGCACTGCGGGAAAAGAAATCTGAAAGTTTAAATCATCAAAGAAATAAAATTCTTTATGGCCTCTGGAAATATTAATTTAACAAATTTAACAATGCTTCCTTCCCCGTGCACCAAATCACAATAGACATGAAGTTTCTAAATTAACCTTTATCAAATTGCTAAGTAGATATTGCATTATACTTTACCAGAATGAAATAATTTTTATGTAAAAATGAAAATACACTTACTGTCAAAATCTCTCCTTCCTATAGGGAATTTAGCTGAATTTTCTTCATCTGCAGTCTCTCTTTCCTGTATTGATTCAATATTATGAATTCCAGTGTCAGCTGGAAAAGCCATGGCTCCCTTCAGTGCAAGATAAGGTAGATGCTTTCTACCAAAGTTGACTGGGATAACATGATTTAAGAAACCTTGTCTGAAATCTGTGTCCTGTTTTAAGGGAAAACAAGCAGTTTGTCTTTAAATCAGTTGCATAAAAGTTCACTTTTTATGCTTAGCAGTGGAAGTATTTTATCTTTCAAGATTATATTTTAAGAGTAATGACCTGCAGTATATCTTTAGCTGAAATGGTTTTATGGTAAAGAACATGATAATATAATGAGTCTTCACTCTGGTGAAGTTAAAAACTTGTTGCTGCATATAGGGACATGCTGAATCAAACATAGACTTTTTTTTTTCCCCCAAGTTTTGGCTACATATGGTTCTGTAAAAATCAGGTTTCTTTTATTCAACTGTCCAAGTTACACATATAAAATCTTGCAATTAGATACATGCAGTTGAAAATTTATTCTTGACTATAGTATGCTAAACTGATATTTTTGTATATTCACCAGGTTATCACTTTAAATTATTGTACTTGTTTTCTAAAGGTCTACAAAGACAACTTCCATTTTACAAATAAGCCAAACCATAAAACTGAAAACTCACCAAAAACTTAATGTTTCTGTCATCCTCTTTGTCTGAAACACTACTGTCTTCAGTCTTATAATGCTTCAGCAAAGGTATAGCTCCTCTGTTCACACTTCTATCTCCATTTCGAAGAGATTTTCCTAGATTTAATGTGGTTAGCAACAAATCTTCATCTTCTACCTTTTGCAGAGATTTTGAGTCTGAGAGTAGAAAACCTTGAGAAAACAGAGAGAGAATTAACATGTATGATGAGATACACATTCTTAGTTACTTAATGCTTGCATAGAAGTTAAGCAGTTTTCAAATTCTAAGAAAGCTTTTCCAGTTGTCAATTAATATGTCCTCTGTCTGTGCCCACTTTATATATTTTACAGATTGAATGGAAACTACTTCAATGGCTGAGTTCACTCTTTAAAAATGATTCATATTAAGGAGTAACCTTTTCTATAATCCTTCTAATCCCATCTGTTGTTTAGAATGACTTAAACCTTTCTTTATCATGGATAATTTGTTTCTTTGTATGTTTTTAGAACATCACAGATTAGTTCCTTTTCATGGATCAGTATAACAAAGTTCACAGAAAAAGTGATGTCCATTTGTGTTGTTTATAAAGCCTTACACCCAGTTAAGGCAATTTAAGAAAAGGAACTAATCTACATAAATAAGCAGGACTGTTGTAAAGGTGTGATCTATCATAGTTTTTGATCAAAACAGATTCACTAAAGAGTTGGAAAGCTTGAAATTTAACAATAGCTTAGAGTGCTACTGTGTTAGATCTGAAATCATTAATTTGTATTTCGATGTCCATTATGTCAGATTCCATTATTCAGAGCTTATGTCTAGAAACATTTATTAATGCCTAAGTAATTGTATCTGTCTACATTTTCTTTCTGAAGATAAACCTTTCCCAGTTACAAAAATAACATAGTCAGATATACTGGCTTAGAATGTAGAAAGAAAAGTAAACTTTAGTTTTTCATTTAAAAAGTCTTTGAACTATTACCCTGCGGAAGGAAATGTAAGAGTTTCTACATAACCTTTTTTTTTTTTTTTTTTTTTTTTTTTTTTTTTTTTTTTTTTTTAACCTGATCTGGAAAGCAAATGAGGCCAGCCCAAATTTAGCTAATCTCTTAATGTCAGTGATACAAACCACCTTTTCAGTGGCTGTGTGCCTCTTAGCTGGTACCCATCTTTTAAATTCATGTTTGTTTTAACATGTTTGTTTTAACGTTTAGGTTATTTCAGAGAACAAAACACCCTGCTAGTCAAGGCAAAGCACTAGGACATTGACCAAGAACCTGACTGAGCAGAAAGAGTACTGGTTCCCCCTTGCTTTCCTCCCTCACTCTCCATTTTGCTTTTCCTGCTTTTTCTCTGAACTGTCATATACTAGGAATGAAATGTAAATTTTTATTAGCAAAAGTGATTTCTTAGTGGTTCTTTTTTTTTCTTTGTTTGTACTGTTTTCTGATGGTCTTCACTAGTAACTACCACTGATGTGGTGTGAGGGAGAAAGTAAGATTGATGTTTAAAAATCTAGACAAGTCTAAAGCACATCAATGGTAGTCACAGATAGCAAGTATAAAGACAAAATGTATACCTGTTATAAGAAATCCAAGGAGGAAATATGAGTGCCTGTGGAGAGGTATTGCATAGTTTTAGGGAAGTACAGAATGAATAATAATGCTTCCTGCTGAAAACAGGCAATGATACAACACTAATCCACAGACTGAAGGTGTTATGTAGAAAAACTGACCAGCATTGTTGGTACTGTGGTATTTTAAGTCACTGTTCACTGCTAAACTTCCTGGAAATCAGACTGTCTTTCCAAAGCAACTTCTAGGTAAGAAGTTTCACGGGAAAATATGTCCTGCTGGACTAAGCAGTTTTTGACTAAGTGACATTTTGTGTATACCCACTTTTCCCTAAATGACGAAAGTGCATTTAAGCCTTTTGGGCAGAGCATCTCTGACAGAATCATTGCTTCTCATTCTTTTCACTTCCTTGCTGTAGAGTCTGTACTTGCCTCTGGGTAATTGCAGTGGTTTCTTTTCTTTGACTTTAATTGCCTGGCTACAGAGGAGGAAAATTTGAAATCAATTGTATATGGTTCTGAACTTCTCATCAAACCTCTCCTTGCTAATTTGTATTCTTTCCTCACATTCAGTATTTGTACTGTTTTGTTCAATTAATAAAGCAAAAGTAATGGTACGCTTTCATTTAGCTCAGTCTAGGCAGAACAAGAGGAGTGCTTTGGAGCTGCTACTGGCAGCAGACGTTTATCTTTCTATGTTGGTGTATGAATTGAGTTGGGTAACAAACTATCCAGTAATTCTGTATGTGGCAAGAGCTTCTGCTTATCTGAAGCTATAGTACCCACAGGTATGCAACATATATCACACATGGCTTGCTTTCAAATATTTCTCTTTCATTTAATACACAGCACAGTTAAAATAAGAATGACTGACCTGAATCAATCGGAAATTCCATCTACAGTGTCTATTTAGTTGTCTACTGTGCCTATAGGCTGATGTCTATGGAAGAACATAGGATCAAGGCAAACTTACTGTACTCCCCCCCACTATCCTCTAGTGCTTCTGGAATCGGATGTTAATTTTTAAGTTTTTTCAATTATCTGAGGTGATTCTAGTGGTAATTAGTAGAACCTCCTAATTAGACTGCTAAGAAATCAATAGCATATGTCTGTTAATTCAGTGAATTTTCTGCCTGTTCAGAGCAGTAGGCAACATTTATACACCTGTAGATTTGAAATGCACTGTATACATTTTTCATAATGCTTTTGGGAATCCTAACACTGATGTCTGCATTTTTTCCTATCATCTTGAAACTTTCAATTTTAATAAAAATGTAAAATGTTTTAATATCCCAGTTTCTATGTTTTATCACTGTTTATCAAATTGTTTTTTTATTTTTATAGTAAATAATAACCTAGTTCTGCTTACAGAGCAATAACAGTTGAGAAACTCTTCTTGCTTCTACATTGCATCTTGTTACAATGAAATATGATCTCAGCATCTGAAATCTGATGTGGTATATGTGACTAAATAAAATCTAGGTGATAATGTGTCTGGAATTTGTCTCGTGCTCATTTTAATTTCTTCTAGGAATGGATTATGAAACAACTATAATAGTTTTATTTGGTCTTGTAGCTACTGTAATTGCCATGTTCAAGTGTTTGAGCCTAATGCTTACTACTGACAACAATAAATAAAACAAGTGTATCTTATATTAAGCCAAATACTTTTTTCACTATTAGTGGAACTGAAAATCTTTTCAATTCAAGAGAGAGTATTTAAACAAGGTTAACAAATTATTTTACTGAATATTAAAATAGCACATAAATACCTGGTCAATGTTAATTTGCCCAGTATCATACTACTTCTGATTTTAAAAGGTGGTGGGGTTGTTTTGTTTTGTTTGGGGTTTTGGTTTTTGTTTTCTTTTTTTAGTTTGGATCTTGTAAATTTTATACAAACAGCTGTATTTCATCCTTTCTGAGTGCAGTTAGAAGATATTTGTCATTTGAACCAAGAGCCACACATACAGAGAATTGGAAGACTGATTTAAAACCAAACCCAGACTCTTCATAATGTGACTGTTCATTTGTGTGATCCTCTAGTAGCAGGGAAGGAAATGCAGACTGCTTTTCTTATCCTACAACATGTAAAAGCATGGAGTTATGTGCATGAGACATGTACTTCCAGGGCACTTAACACTTTTGGAGAGTTTTGAGTAATGCCACAGCATTTTCTTACCTTCATAAATAACTGAATATATTAGATTGTTTTTTTGTATTGAAAAAAAGAAGCTTTCAGCATTTATTAAGAGATTCATTTTGGCAGAGTTAATAATATACATTGTGCAGATAGTTAGGTGAATCTGTTTTAATTTCTCAGGCATAGATACTATTTATTTTACTCTGACCCTTTTTTCTTGTGACCTTGGACAGAGTAAAAAGAATAGACTGGCGGTATTGTTTTGTGCATTTTTTTTTAGCACTGATACAAGTGGAAGTTAAAAAATTTAGAAATTATTTATTTGCTTAAGAACTGCAATTCCTTCTTAAGACTTGAAGAGGAACCCTAGGTTTTCTATACTGGTTTTGGGATAGCGAGTTGTTTTACTTCAAACTAGAATGTAAATGGAACCTAGCAAGCACATTTGACAAGAAGCTGACTACAGCTGGTCAATAGGAAGTAATAAGGTTGAGTTGTATCTGAAATCCCAATCCCTTCTTGGGTATTAGCTCTATCACTTTTATTTACTCATAAATTTGCTAATTTTGGACCCAGAGCCTGGAACTTTCTCTTGAAGGTGAACACTCTTTCTTTTGAGTGATCTTAGCACCTCATTCTATAGACTACCTTCAATACCTAACATTAAGTGTTTTATTTCCACCACTAATCCAACAAGCAGGTGTTAAAGTAGAAATTCCCTGTGCTACTAATGCAAAGAACTTCTGCTCAGCAGTTCACAGGACATGACAGAGGTAATTAGCACACTTAATTAGTGACTGTACAAAATAAAGACTCTTGCTTAGCACCAATTTGTTGTTCCTCCCTGCTGAATCTGTAGTCACCTAGAATCAACAAGTTGATTTAGCACGAAGTAGGCACTATGCGGTTTATAACAGGACAGCTCTGGACTTGTGAGGAACACAGCTCTAAATATTTGGAGAACTTAAAGTCATTTTCTGTTTATGTGGCAGAAGAATGTACAAGGAAAGAGTGGAGATAAATCCCTGCAAACAAGGTGACTTTTCCTAAATTTCTGCCCAAGATCCATAATAGGAATTTCAGTCCTCTGTTGAATTATAGTCTGTGTATTTATAGAATGAAATGTTGAATTTGTGTTACAAATAAATTTCAGTTAGGAAAACTTTAAAATCTTTTCTGCTGTTTGTTATTTTGAAAGGAATTTCAGAATTTCATATGAAGGAACTGCATAGAAATGTACCTATTTCTGACAGGATTGTACAGCAGCAGAACTGAGTAATGCATATAAAGTTATTTCTAGCAAAAAAAATGATAGATGTATTGGTCATTGTGTCCATCCTGTCTTAGGAATCTTCTTGCTGAATAAAATGACCTGTTCTCATGGGAATAATTTGCCAATACACTATGCTTAAAAATAATTGAACTGTTCTTTTAATTGTTTTAAAAAAAATTAAAAAAGAAAACCCTGAAACCAATCCCCCCTCCCCAAAACTAAGTTTCTTATTCCATAAGACCTTTTCCAAAACAGTCCAAATTTAAGTTTATTAAGGGATTCCTAATTAATCAGTAAAGTGGAAAGAAGAAGAAAGATTCCTCAAGCAATATTAGCTTCTTAATGAAGAAAATTAAGAAAAAGTGCAGTAAGTTAGACTTGAACAGCAGTTTTATAAATACTGACCTATTGATTACAGTACATTCAAATAAATTTTTATTTGCTGTTAGATTCAAGATAAATCTGTAAGCAGTTTATTAGTATCATAACCAAAGGAATAGCTTTCGAGTTAAGAGTGTAGATGAAATCCTTATATAATTTTTTAAGCTTTATTAACATCAGTCTGCTTTTAGAAAGCTTTGCTGTCTGCCAGAATGCCTGGCCTTTGTGTGTGGCTTTTTAGACTGTCTGGTTTCTCTTCAGTCAACTGTACCTCATCAAACAAACCATATTTTTGTGGTGGGCTGGCCCTGGCTGGACACCAGGTGCCCACCAAAGCTTCTCTACCACTCCCCTTCCCAGCTGGATAGAGGAGAAAATATAACAAAAAGCTCGTGGGTTGAGGTAAGGACAGGGAGAGATCATTCTGCAATTACTGTCATGAGCAAAACAGACTTGACTTGGGGAAAAATTATTTAATTTATTGCCAATCAAATCAGAGTAGGATAATGAGAAATATAACCAAATCTTAAAATACCTTTGCTTCACCCCTCCCTTCTTGCTGGGCTTAACTTTACTCCTGATTTTCTCTACCTTCTCCCCCACAGCAGCACAG